AATAATCAATGTAATGAAACAAGCTATATGAATGGTTGAATGTGAAGCTGATGATGTGCCCTGTAAACTTTCACTCAATCCAAAATAAAAACATTTAATAAAAAAAAAACAAAAAAACAAGGCCTAGTTAGAAAACAACAATAATAGTTGAAACATAACAGAGTCCTCGAGAGCCCTGGTGCAAGATTTCTTGGCATCTGAACACATAAATCCATCCAAATATGAAGAGCGATTTGCTTTCTCTGTTATGCATACAGGACAGCAGCTCTGTTATCTCAGACACCAGACCTTATTTAATGAAATGCTGGTTGTATACACACATTTAAATCTACAGCAATTGAGTAGCTTCTATTTATAAAACCTTGCAACAGAAATAATATGAACAATTTTAGTGCAAGAGGTGATCTTATTTTTTCAACAATTATCTCCCTGTGTATCTGAGACACTCGTTTCTTCCAGAAGATGGTGGGAGCTGTTCATAAGACGATGACAGCTCCGCAGCAGGGAACACAGAGGGCAATGTTCATGGGGAGATAATATGCTCATCACTACATATTTTAATGTCATCTTTATCAACTTTAATGGAAGGTTTCAAAATACTGGCTGGTGGGCAGCCGCCTGACATATAGGAAAATGTTTTGAGTTCTCCTTTGAAAAACTTGAAGAGAGATTTTAATATCATATTGCTTTCCAAGCACTTGTGCCTTCATTTGTTAGCATTTTGAAATTCCTTCTCTGAAATACCAGGTGAATTGTTTTCACTGTTCTTCTTCGGTGTTGAGAGGATTCGCTATCTGCAATGATTCACCTTGCCCAGAAGGTGGAAATGGGGCAATATTTATCGGGCAGTATTTGTAGTGTTCCTTCTCATTAACAGTGACTAGATATTCAGCTAAGGACATTATGCCTTATTCTTACTCCTTACTGGAAAATTGGTTTTCAGAACAAACGCTACTAAGCTTTTGAATGTTGTTGTTGTTCAGTGACATCAAGTCAATTCTGACACATAGCGACCCTGCATAGGGCTTCTGAGGAGTGGCTGGATGAGTTTGAACCGTTAACCTTGTGTTCCAGTGCTGTACTAGGAATCCATACTAAGCTTCTGAGGCTTTCGTTAGTCAGCAATCTTACTTAAATTTATTACAGAGGAATAATATCAAGCAAGGAGTATTGATACTTGCTAACCACAAAATCCCAGGGAGACCTGCTGTGGCACTGTGGGTAAATGCACTGGACTGCGAGATCATTTTGAGCTGCAAGGTAGGCAGTTCAAGCTCACCAGTCAGAAACTCTTTACTGGGTCGCTGTGAATCGGAAACCACTCTACAGCACTTAAAACCAACTTAAAACCAACTATAAAATTATAAACTTTAATGTAAATTTAAAAGGCCATCTATCTAATATACTCTTAAACATCAAGGAGATGAAACATTGAAAATGACGAATATGCATCCATTTTTGATTACAACTCTGGAATAATAAGATTATATGACATTATTCATAAACTGATTCTGGCAGCAACTAGGAAGACTGTCCAAGATCAGAGCTCACGTTCCTCTATTGCAACTTGAGTCTCTACAAAACCTCAGAGAACATGGACTCATTTTTTTTTCAGTCTACTCATTTGAATGTTGTAGAGTAAGTATTTCTACTATGAACAATTTCCTCTGTAAACTAAAAAGATTTATTATTTTCTGTACTTTGTCATTTCTCCCTAAAGTCTAATTCAAATCTGGCCGTTTTTCTTTCTTTCTTTCTTTCTATTTACTGGGTTTGGAAATAGTCAAGTCCAAAATTAGCTACAGTTTTGCATTTCTGTGTGCAGATTTCTGTGATTCCTTGATAGGAATCTACACAAAATCTTTCAGATATCAGTAGTGGAAACGGACGGATATTTCTAAACTAGAGTGTTCAAACCTACATATTCGAAGCATAAATGACGAGCACAGAGTTATCCCCTTCCTAATTATAGCAGCCTATTTCCTAGTGTGGAGTCTGGGTGTGGCGCTGTGGGTTAATGTGCCAGACTGCAAAGCTGTTTGAACTGCTAGGTCGGCAGGTCAAGCTCAACAGCTGCTCCTCAGAAACCCTATATAGGGTTGCTATGTGTCGGAACTGACTTGACAGCACCTCACAACAACACAACAACATTTCCTAGTGTGGCGTTGTAGGCTAATACGTCAGACTGCAAAGTCATTTGAACTGCAATGTCAGCAGCTCAAACATACCAGTTGCTACTTGGAAACCCTATATGGGGTCACTATGGATCGTGATCAACTCAACAGCACTTAACAACAACAATAACATTTTCATCTCACTCATGTTACAACTCACTGACAAAAATACACACATTTACATCATAACGTCAGTTAAGGTTGTACTATGTTAGACCGAAGTCTAAATAATACACATACTCCACAATACCCTACCACTCTATTCAATTACTAACAACACTAGCATTCAGCATTTAACAACAGTTCCTCACACTGAAATGTACCCAGACTGGGGCATCATCAGAACAACGTCCACATGAATCAAGAAGTCATTGAGGGGATGCGCGAGGGGAAACAGACTTTGGAGAGAAAGATGCAGAGTGAGACAATGTACCCTCAGCTCCTTTTACCTGATGTCCGTACAGGTAATGCAGCTGATGTCGCGGCTGTTGGGGGTGATCAGGTTCAAAGCGACTGATGTTTCTCTGTCACAGGTTGGGTGTGTTCCACATTTGAAGAAAAATTCCTGAAAAGAAGAGAAAGAAGGTCACATACTAGTCAGAATCCCTACTAGCAGCATTCCCCTCTCTAGACTGGTGTGGGGCTATAGGATTAGCACTGGAATGAATGTTCAGTTTGAACCATAAGGTGGTTGTTGCTATTGTTAGGTGTGATCAAATCAGTAACAACTCATAGCAACCCAACGAAACACTACCCGATCCTGGGCCAACCTCACAATTGTTGCCACGCTTGAGCCCATTGATGCTGCCATTTTGTCCATCCATCTCGCTGGGTGTCTTCCTCTTTTTCTCTGACCCTTCACTTTACCAAACATGATATCCTTCTCCAATGACTAGTCCCTCCTGACAATATGTCTGAAGTATGAGAGACAAAGTCTGGCCATCCTGGCCTCCAGGGAGCACTCTGGCTGCATTCATTTCTTCCAAAACAGATTTGTTTGTTCTTTTGGCAGCCCATGGCACTTTTAATATTCTCCTCCAACACCGCAACTCAAATGCATCAATTCTTTTGTGGTCTTCCTTATTCACTGTCCAGCTTTTGCATGCATATAAGGTTATTGAAAATACCATGGCTTGGGTCAGGCACACCTTAGTCCTCAAGCTTACACCTTTGCTCTTCAACACTTTAAAAAGGTCTTGAGCAGCAGATTTGCCTAATGGAATATGGCATTTGATTTCTTCACTGCTGCTTCTATGAGTGTTGATGGTTGATCCATGAAGAATGAAGTCCTTGACAACGTCAATCTTTTCTCCACTGATAAGAATATTGTTCACTGGTTCAGTGTTGAGGAAGGACTTTTGTTTTCTTTATATTGAGATACAATCCATACCGAAGGCTGTGTTCTTTGATCTTCATCAGTAAATATTTTAATTCCTCTTCACTTTCAGCAAGCAAAGATATATCATCTGTATATTACAAGTTATTAATGAGTCTTCTCACTAGGATCTAATGGATCCCCTCCAATCCTGATTCCACATTTCCCTTCATATAATCAATAAATAACATCAGGGTAAATGTAGAAAAATTAAAGTTATCAAATATTTCATTATGTTTTTGCCATGTGTGTTGGGGGATTGAGGGAGGTTCCTTTCACACATTGAAAACAAAAAATTCTTTCAATTGCCTACGTTTGTAAAAACATGTTTTTCTCCATGCTGACCTCTCAAGGTTACTATTACTACCCTTGCTAATTTTCTGATTCCGTGTCATAAAACCACATAATTGGTACCAGAGCTCTTGAGCTTGATTTTCTTGTTGGTAGGTGGCACCAGGTATATTCTCACGCTGTGCACCATTGAAAAAAACATTGCCCAGTTCTTCATCACCCTCACAATCTTTCTAGATCTGACCCTGTTGTTGTAGTTACTGTATCAATATATCTACTTGATGCACTTCCTCTTCTTTTATTTTAAAGCTTTTATTGTGAATTGAGTGAGTTAAGGTTTATTGGGCAGATCATCAGCTTTAAATTCAGAAAATCTTTGCAAAGATTACAATGACCTCCATGCACCAACAGCTAGCAGTATTTACAGCTATTACTTTTTCTTTCTTTTTTTGATGTTCACATACCACATTAAAGATATACATCCATTTGAATGTCCAAAGGGCATATTTTGTAAGCCAGCCTCCTGCCCACAGGCACACTGCCTTTCTCAGTTCATGCATCTATACTCCACGGCTGCTCTGTCTCTGTGCCATCGCCTCTGCCACCATATCTGGTGTCACTGCTCTTCTGGATGGATCCACTGCTCCTCTCATGCTCTTCCCTCTTGATGGTCCGACGGTCCTCTGTTCCCCAAGTGACAGGTTAACTGTTCCCCCTTTTAGTTATACTTCTTCTACATTTACAGTTGTGACAATTGTCATTTGACCTGATAACAATTATTCACAAATGCATCAAAATCCTATCTACTTCATCACCAGACACAACTGGACAAACTGAAAACTATTCAGTGGGGCTTCTATATTATTCCCCATGTTCTGACACTAAGCACTTTCAGGAAAGCTTGTAAGCCAGCCACTTTGGGCCTTTATAGCTCCCCAATTTGGGTAGCTGAAGTATAAGTTGCCCGTCCCTATTAGCCCAGTGTACTGAGGATACATGCTTGATTCTTAACATGAAAAATCCTTTCCTATTTGGTTGGAATTTGGGACAGCTTCATCCACAAGCAAAGGTCCACCCGATCAGGTTGTAGCAATTTACTCTTGCTCCTTGTATCATACTTATTGATCTTCAGCGGGCTGAGCTGTGGTCAGCAAGCCATCCCCGCTAGATCAAATGGGCACTATCTGCAGGTCTGGGAGTTCTCACACACTTCTCTCTTCAGTCCAGCTGGCTGCTTCACTGTTAACTCAAGCCTCCAGTGACCAGATCAGTGTCCTTGGACTGGGAGTTCACATGTTTCCCTGAACTTCAAACCAGCCAAACCCTCATCTCAAGGTCCTGACTATGGAATGTGATCGATCTCAGCCTGTCTTCTTTGCTGCATTTCCCCCATTTCCACTCACAAGCTGACCAGCCTAGACACAGAGAGCATAGAAGACTGTCTGTGTGTTTCCTTTGAGTTTCAATCTTAGAAGGGGGTTTACCCTGACAGGCTGCCTTATCTTGCTCTGATGGCTCCAAGGCAAACCACTTGCTTGATATTGTCACAGCCAAACAATCTGCTTTAAAAAAATAATAATAATAATTTATCTTTTTCCTGTTGGTTTTTCTTTCAAGAAGTTTTATCTTATGTTCCTCAAGTCATTTGGGGTTGCTCTGCATGTCTTTTCCAGAATGCTTCTTGCAAGCCAGAATGGCCAGAATTCATCACTCATATTTGGGACATATTATCAAAAAGAACCAGTCCCTGGAGAAAGATATCATCTTTGGAGAAGTGGAAAATGAGGAAGACCCCCAATGAGATAGACTGGTCCAGTGGCAGAAGCAATGTTCTCCAACAATGGCTGTGTGGTTGGCACAGGACCGGACAGTGTTTTGGTTAATGTGCACAGAGTCATTATGAGTCAGTACTGAATGGATCGCAGCTAACAACAACAACAACAGTAGAGTAATAGAATATGTAAGCATGAGAAAACCTACAATTGTATCTCACAAATGAAGAAAGGAGACCCTGAGCCATGAAATGATCACCCCAAAGTTAAATGCTAAGAGGTGAAACCAAGAAAAGCCCAGACTTCCACAGGAAACTTCACAGCTTTTCCTACACCACCAATGGACTCATGGCCGTTTAGCAACAGGAATGCCTGGTGAAGAGAGGAATCGAGGTCACCACTCTGACAAGCAAGCAAGTTCACATGAACATATGCCCCTTTTCCCTACCGTGCTCTAAAAACCAGTAACTGTTGAGGCAACCCCAACGTATGGTCACCCCATGTGTGGCAGAGTCGAACTGTGATCCATAAAGTTTCCAGTAACTGCTTTGTCCTAAGGAACTCACCAGGACTTTCTCCCAAGGCCCATCAGTTTGCAAGCCAGCACTGGCACTGTTTGTACCACCTGGGGGACCCTGCCCAGGTGACACCGAGGTCCCCAGGGCTGATCTCTGATGTAGGCCTCTGATGCTGACCTACTTCCATGCCAGGAAGCAGGGGGCACTGCCTATGTGGTCTTCCTTTCTTACTTCTCCTCAGCCAGGCTCCACAATGTTGTTGTTAAGTGCCACCTGGGCTCTACAATAAAACCCCCAAAACCCAAACCATTAAGTTGATTCTGACTCATAGGGACCCTGTATAGGGTTTCTGAGGCTGTAGATTTGCTACAATGCACACTTCTATTTTAACTTTTCACATAATACATATTTTCTTCATTGATAAACAACATTCTCCTTCTCAAGCAAAATTTTCTTTCACTCTAAAATTTATTTTCCTTCTACTCGTTCCATATAAATCCACATAAACGCATACAAATCCATATCAATG